GTAGTAGTAGTAGGTAGCAACAGCAGCAGAAAGAGCATCTTTAGCCATATCTTTCGCAAAAAATACTTTCGCCAACTCGGGAAAACTCTCGCCAAATGAGACTTTGATCAAAGGAAGTTTTGTGTGCAAACTTCCGTGTTACGGACATTCAACAGCTGTTCAATACACCACTCATCATACACCACTCATCATACTCCGCTCATCATACACCACTCATCATACACCCCTCATCATACACCACTCATCATATGCCACTCATCATACACCATTCATCATACACCACTCATCATACACCACTCATCAAACACCACTCATCATACACCACTCATCATACGCCACTTTTCATACACCACTCATCATATGCCACTTATCTTACACCACTTTTCATACACCACTTATCATACACCACTCATCATACACCACTCATCATACACCACTCATCATACACCACTTTTCATACACCACTCATCATATGCCACTTATCTTACACCACTTTTCATACACCACTTATCATACACCACTTATCATGCACCACTCATCAAACACCACTCATCATACACCACTCATCATACACCACTCATCATACACCACTCATCATACACCACTCATCATACGCCACTGATCATACACCACTCATCGTACACCACTTATCTTGCACCACTTTTCATACACCACTCATCATACACCACTTATCATGCACCACTCATCATGCACCACTCATCATCCAGTTAGCTCTGGTTTCAAGAGCTCTAGCTCCAGGTAGCTCTAGTTTCAATAGCTCCAGCTCCAGTTAGCTCTAGTTTCAATTGCTCTAGCTCCAGTGAGCTCTAGTTTTAATAGCTCTGGCTCCAGTTAGCTCTAGCTTCAATAGCTCTAGCTCCAGTTAGCTCTAGTTTCAATAGCTCTAGCTCCAGTTAGCTCCAGTTTCAACAGCTCTAGCTCCAGTTTACGTGGCAGGCGCAGCACTTTGAACCTCCATGTGTAGAATTCGTGGCAGGTGCAGCACTTTGTGAACCTCGAGGTGCAGATTTCGTGGCAGGCCCAGCACTTTGTGAACCTCCATGCGCAGATTTCGTGGCAGGCGCAATACAAAATGCGTTTTCCAGAGATACAGCGGACGCACAAAATGCTATGTTTTTCAATAGAAAGGGTGGCTCCGAAGCTGGCAAGTCAAGCTTTGCGGAACGACGTGTGCGAGACGGTCTCGGGTCATGCTCGGATCATGCTCGGAATCGTCCCTCCATTGTGGTTAGAGTTTGCACTTGTTTCTTGAAGTGCAGATTTCGTGGCAGGCACAGCACTTTGTGAATCTCCATGTGCAGATTTCGTGGCAGGCACAGCACTTTGTGAACCTCGACGTGCAGATCTCGTGGCAGGCGCAGCACTTTGTGAACCTCCATGCGCAGAATTCGCGGCAGGTGCAGCACTTTGTGAACCTCCATGCGCAGATTTCGTGGCCCACGCAGCACTTTGTGAGCCTCCATTTGCAGAATTCGTGGCAGGCGCAGCACTTTGTGAACCTCGAGGTGCAGATTTCGTGGCAGGCACAGCACTTAATGAACCTCCATGAGCAGATTTCGTGGCAGGCACAGCACTTTGTGAACCTCCATGTGCAGATTTCGTGGCAGGCACATCACTTTGCGAACCTCCTCCATGTGCAGAGTTCGTGGCAGGCACAGCGCTTTGTGAACCTCCATGCGCAGATTTCATGGCAGGCACAGCACTTTGTGAACCTCCATGTGCAGATTTCTTGGCGGGCACAGCACTTTGTGAACCTCCATTTGCAGATCTCGTGGCAGGCACAGTATCTGTGGAGCTGGAAGCTGAGAACTGGCGACTTTGTAGAACAACTTTAGTACGCGGAGTATCTGCGGAGCTGGAAGATGAGAACTGGCGACTTTGTAGCACAACTTTTGTACGCGGAGCAATCTGTGGAGCTGGAAGCTGAGAACTGGCGACTTTGTAGTACAACTTTAGTACGCGGAGTCACTGGGGAGCTGGAAGATGAGAACTGGCGACTTTCTAGTGCAAGTTTAGTGCGCAGAGCAACCTGTGGAGCTGGAAGCTGAGAACTGGCGACTTTGTAGTGCAACTTTAGTACGCGGAGCAATCTGGGGAGCTGGAAGCTGAGAACTGGCGACTTTGCAGTACAACTTTAGTACGCGGAGTATCTGGGGAGCTGGAAGATGAGATCTGGCGACTTTGTAGTACATCTTTAGTACGCGGAGCAATCTGTGGAGCTGGAAGCTGAGAACTGGCGACTTTGCAGTGCAACTTTAGTGCGCGGAGCAATCTGGGGAGCTGGAAGCTGAGAACTGGTGACTTTGTAGTACACCTTTAGTACGCGGAGTCACTGGGGATCTGGAAGATGAGAACTGGCGACTTTGTAGTTCAACTTTAGTACGCTGGAAGCTGAGAACTGGCGACTTGGTAGTACACTTTAGTACGCGGAGAATCTGGCGAGCTGGAAGATGAGAAGTGGCGACTTTGTAGTACAACTTTAGTACGCGGAGTATCTGGGGAGCTGGAACATGAGAACTGGCGACTTGGTAGTACGACTTTAGTACGCGGAGCAATCTGTGGAGCTTCAAGCTGAGAGGCTAATTAGCTCAAATTTGTCAACCTCTCAAAGCACGTGTTTTGAGGTCTCCAGAAAGTAATCGAAATGAACCCTTTTGAGTAAGCAAAGTAGCTAAAATTTGTCAACCTCTCAAGAGAGCCGGGTGGTCGGGAGACATGACTCAGCTGCAGGGGCGCCAGAGCAGCCGCAAGAGATGACTCATCCGCGTACTAAAGTTGTACTACCAAGTCGCCAGTTCGTGTCTAGACAAGCTATCACATCATAGTTAACGTTTAGCTCCAGTTAGATTTAGTGGAGCGAGAGCTAGAGCTATGCTTCACTCATCGCTCATCACTCATGCGTCTGACTGAGGGACACGAGGGACACGCGTGGTGGAAAGAACCGGGACACTCCTATAGGTC